CAACCCTCCTCTCTCTCCCCACAGACGGGCCCATCATCCAGGTGCCCTGGCTGGATGCCACCCCCGGGAAGCTGCGGGCTGGAAATGCAGTGAATGTAACGTGCTGTACCCTCAGCTCCTGCTCCGAGCCCCACCCCAGCGTGGCCTGGACGGGGCCCTTGGAGCTGCCTCTGGCCCCAGCGAGTCGGGATGCAGGGGGCACCATGTACAGCTCTGAGCGCGGCTTCAGGCCTGTCGCTGGGGATGATGGGAGGGACCTTGTCTGCCGTGTTTCCTACACTGGGTTCAAGAGGATCACGGCCCAAGCCAGCGTCCAGCTCCAGATCGTATGTGAGTGCCCCCGTCCTCCCCCGGAGCTGCAGGGGACTCAGGTGTCCGGGCCCCCTGCTCTAACCCCTGGCCCCCACTCCCCTACCAGAGCAGGAGGGAACCCAGGCCAGGTGTCCAGATTTCCGGCCTGATCCCATGCTCTGCGGTTCCCCCCAGACCCACCCGGGACCCCAGAGATCAACGGGACGCTGAGAAGAGACGGACATGCTGGTGAGAGGCTGGGAACTGGGGCCACTGGAGGAGAGGGGACCCTCGCAGGCTAAGAGGGGCCTGGGCTGTTTGGTGCCTGGATGGGAGACCAGTGGAGGCTCCACCCCAGAGCCAGCTGCCCCCCGCACTGTTACACCCAGCCACCACCCAGCCACTCACCCGCATCTCCAACCCACCTTGGTCCTAATCATTTTCTTGCCTTCCAGAAGCAGTCATGGTGGTGCTTGCGGGTGACCCACTTTTAGTACTGACCTGGGAGGGGGCCGCACTCAGCCTGACCTGCAGGGCTGGGGGCAACCCCCCCGCCCACGTGCACTGGACCCAACCCTGGGAGACCCCGTCCAGGGGGGGCCGGCACACCTGGAGCTGCACAACTTAAGTGCCGCCAACATTGGGGTGTATTGGTGCCAGGCCCAGAACAGCTATGGGGCGGCCAACCGGAGCGTGCGGGTCACCATGCACTGTGAGGGCCCCAGGAGGGATCTGGGGGGCACTGTGCAGTGGTCAACAGGGGTCCCTAGGGGGCCCTTTTGGGGGAGTTATGGTCTAGCGGGGTGATGGACAGGGAGGGGGGAGAAAGTCCAGGGTGGGGCAATAACTCTCCCGCTCTGTGTTTCAGAAGCCCCCTGAGAGCCAGCCATGGTCCCCCACATAGGTGCTAGGCCAGTTGGGTTTGCAGTGGCCAATGGTGGCCACTAGGGGAAACTATGACTGTAGTGTGTCCATGTGGACCACTAGGGGGCGCTGTGTCACCTCTGGGGGGGCAGTAGGAGCCCTTGGGCTGGTGGCGGGGCTCTGGGGACTCATCACCTATCCCCTCATCCCGTTGGCAGCTGGTCCTGTCCCCCGGGCCGAGAGGCTCCTCCCTGTCATGGAGCTCGTGGTCAAGGCTGTGGTCATGGTGGCTGGGTTGGTGCTGGCCCACACCTTAACACGGTGCTGCTACAGCAGGTGAGTCACTGCCCATGTGTCTCCCCATCTCCCTCCGCACTCCACCTGCGGCCAGGACCCCCGGACCGGCTCACCCGGCTCTGCTGTCTTCTCCCTCCACAGGAGCCTCAGGGCGGGAGCCGGCACTGAAGGGGCCGGGGCCGGCACGTAGGCAGGAGCCCGAGGCCACCAGAGACCTGCCTGAAGGGAGAGGAGCCACGGGCACCACAGACCCCCTGTGCTCTGTCCATCCATCCCTCCGTCACACACCACCTGCTCCTCCTATTGTCCACAGCTGCCCAGGGAGATTCCCACCATCCATCCATCTATGCATTTATCCATCCATCCATGGACTTTGTTATGCATCCATCCCTTCCTCCAGTCCTGATCCCCCCGAACCCCACCACTCCTCACTGTCCTGTGCCCACCCTGGGCCCATTTCCCAGTGGGGGCTGGGTCTCCACTGCACCCACGGTGTCCCCAGGCAGTCCCTCCTGCCCCACTTGGGTCCTGGGGCCCATCCTGCTGGGCAGGGCCAAGCCATGGGCTGGGTGCCTGAGCACCATCCTCCGTGGTGCAGACCTGGCACCAGTACTGGATTAAGATATATTGGGGTCTGGGCAAACATAAAATTGGAGGCTTCCCACACCCTATTATAAACATGAATGTATCCAAAAGCATTAATCACCAGACCTATTAAATGTTTACATGGCTCCGGGACTGTGGCGGGGAATCTTTTCATAGTATTGTAGTCCTTAGTGTCAGAAGGGACCTAAGCAGATCATCAGATCCTAACCCCTGCCCCGGGCAGGAATGGGTGCCAGGATCATATCCCTCCAGCCAAATATCTGTCCAGCCTCCTCTTGAAGGAGGAAAGCTGACTTGACAAGCTCAGGAGACTTGTCGGTCAGACCCTAAGGGACCACAACCCTAGGGGGAGGGGAGTTCAGGACGAGTCGTTGCTCCTCAAGAGAGCGATCCTCAATGCACAAGCTAATGCTATTCTGTCTCAGAGAAAAGGCAGCAAAAGGCACATCAGCCCCCCTGGCTCTGCAGGAAACTGGCAGACCTCCTGCGGCTAAAAAGAAAAGCCTACAAAGGATGGAGGACGGGATCCACCTCCAAGGAGGATTATTCTGCACTGGTCTGGACCTGCATGGAGCAAGCCAGGAAAGCCAAGGCTGAAACTGAACTCCAAGTAGCTTTGAGTATCAAAGACAATAAAAAGTCCTTTTTTAGATATGTGGGGAGCCGGAGGAAAAGC